ATGAGGGCAACAAATGTATAGATGTGCTTTACACAATTGATCTATGTATTGTGATGAATTGTATGAGCCCCAATAAATTCATTTAAAAAAATAAATAAAAGGTTAAAAAGAAAAGAAAAGAAAATAAGAGTTTGATGAAGTTTTTGAAATGCACACTGCCAGATCACTTATACTGAATCGCATACATTAGTGATCCTACAATTATGCTTTATATTAATTAGTAAAGGCTAAGTGAGTAACATTTCAAATTCAAATCAAAGTTAGAAAACTTTCCCTAGATTTATTTTTATGCAAATGTACACATAGAAGAGATTTTACTTTTTGATAATATATGTAAAAAGAGTTTTTTTCTAGACCACTATTGTTTAAGGAATTATTTCTTTTAAATAAATAGAGCACAAATTTCCGTTTCCTCTAGGCATATCAGTAAAGTTCTTTAGTAAGGCATATATTGCACATCAGTAACACTGACAAAGTTATACCCTATATCTGGGAAAACACAGATGCCTTTATGGCTTTTACCTCTAAAATAAAAATAACAATAGGAATGTTTTCTGAGGTTTGTAATAGCTTATTAATCTTATCATTTTAGAAATTGAAGCATTAGTAATAAAACTCCACCTACTAAAGTAATAAGGCATAAATCTATAATGGGTCTTCAGAAAATTCATGGAAAAAATAGAATAAAAGATCATTGGAATTTTCCCGTGAACTTTTTGAAGGGCCCATGTATTATACTTGATAATTGTAAAACAACTAGGAGCTAGGTTAAATAATGAGAGTTCTTATTTGTACTGATAGAAGAAAATAAAGGCATGGGATCACAAAAGAGCTGAGTATTTAAAAACAGACTGGCTTGTGATGTATTTTCACCTAACTGTATTAATGTGGACATTGTCTATACTGTGGCTGGCTGTTTATTTCTTGTGGAATTAGAATCTTGCTATGAAAATGACACTTGAGGAGGCTATGTGGCTTTATTTGTATACATTCTGAGTGACTATACCAGTCTGTGATTTAGGTTTTTTAAACCTGATTCTAGAGGGAATAGACGTTAAAAACACCCATAGCATTAATCTTTCAGATAATTTACTTGGGACACTGAAGCATAAAACAGATCACAGAGTTGCTGCTCTGGCTGAAGCTGGATGAGAAGCCCCGCGGTCCATTTCTCATCCTTCTCTTCATTCATGAGCAGTAGTACCTGAGCCATTTCTCAGAAGCAATGAGCTTTGGCAGGACACGTTGGAAATCATTGAGCTCTATGACTGTTTTTTTCCAGCCTTTAAGATAGTTCCTTTTGGAATTGACATACACATTTGGATTCCTGCAGGGTGGTTTACACTCACCTTGTGAATAGATGGCACAGACACGGACGGAGCTGAGACCTAAAGTTTTCATTTCAAGATTATGATTTTTTTTAGCATTGGAACATCTCTGTATGTCCCAAACAAGTACTACTGAAAACAGCTTCTTAAGAGGGGTGTCCATGAAATAATTTTTAATGCTTCCTGTTCCATTAGTATGCTTTCTGAAAAATATGCTTCTTTAAAATGACCTTTCCTATGGAAAAATGAGCATTGAAACATAATATTTTATTTTAAAGATACTATCTGGGCTTCAGTTTTTGTTGTCAAACACTACAATGTTGTGTACTTCAGTGTAATTTCCTTTATTTTAGGTCTTTTGCTGGAGATCAGTTAGCAGTTCTCTGAAGCAGTGTCGATGGGCTTATCCACGCCAGGTCTTCATTTCTGATATTGCTTTAAATAAAAATGAAGCTCTCTTTGTCACACAAGATGGGGAAGGATTTAGAGGAAAATGGCTTGAAGAAAAAAGGAAGAACTCTGAAAAGAAAGGTCAGTTACTACATAGGGATGCCACACAGGAATACATGTCTCTCAAATCCAGTTCTAATTTCTCTTCTTTTGATTGTGCTTTGTGTGCGTGCAAGTAAAAATAGAAAACCCAGTTCCCTTAAATCTGAACTTTTCCACACTTGTCTGTCTCAGTAGACTGCGGATGTGGTCCGTTCTCATCAGCAATGAGGGCTCACCATTGCTGTTCCTAGCTGTGTCTCCAGGGACGGGACGATGTGTAGCTTAAAAACTAAAAGCTCCTCAGATAGCATTTTTTAGCTTCTTTTCTTTCTTTCTCCCCAAATTGCTCATTGAGTTGCTTAGTCTCTTTGTTTTGCTTTAAGAAAAAGGACTGTTCTGTATGTAAAATTAAAGCTTTAAGAGATAAATCTAATTACTTGCTGAAAAGCAGAAGAACATAGTTTTTATGGAATCAGATTATTGAAAAGTAGAAGTCGTTTTATTAAATAATTACTGAATATTGATGTAACTGAACTATGGAATGTTATGCTATCTGTACTAACTCCCAATAAAATGGTTTTAAAGAAAAAAAAATAAAAATAATTACTGAATAATACCACTCAAGCTTTATTTCATTCTTTGATGAATATATATATTGAAAATAGAAGTTGTTTAATTTAGTTCATTTTTTAATTACCTGATTATGTGAATATAAATCCGTGGATTATTTTTTACATATGGTCATGACTTTTTTCTTTCATCTATAATTAGTAATTGGTTGGTTTTTCTTCTAGAATGACTTAAACTCATTTATTTCTTTACATCTCTATTGGTCCCATCCTAGTTCAAAGTACATACAAAAAAGGCTTTATTTTCACATGTGCCTTGTCTTCTGACTTACTCTCAGCCAGTTGCCAGAGTGAGCTTTTTATGGTCTGATTCAAAGACTTTCATGACGAACACTTCTTCATTTCTTAAGCATGACCAGGAGGACCTGCTCTGACCCTCGTCTCTGTCTCCGAACTCATTTGAGGTCTTTCCCGCTCACTTCCCACTCTTCCCGTACACTAGCCTTCTAACGTGTCTGTAATCAGTCCTCGGACTTTCCCTGCTTCTCACATCTGAGTTTAATGCATACTTTATCAAGGATGCCATGACTGATTCTTCAATCTAATTAGTGTTTCTTTCACTTTTCATTATTCCCTTTGTAAATTCATCATTTTTACTTCTACTATTTATCTTTGTGATCATTTTAAAACCTTAACAGGAAAGGTCTGTGACTTCCATGGTCTCCTCAGTGTTTCACATATTTCCTAAAACCTGCTCATCCTATATTTGTTGAGTAGATAAACCAGTTACTGCAGGCTAAAAGTATGTGTGAGGGTAAGTCAAAAAGTACTGCTGTAAGATAACGAACACCTTTACTAAACGAAAATATCAAACGTGAAGCTAAGTAATCCTCAACTTGTGTGTACACGTCTGAAGGTACTATCGTTGTCTTTCTAATCCTTCTTTCGGGAATTCTATATTCTTCAGTTTATACTATCTCGGGTCAATATTGGCATCCTCCCATGGCTCAGATCATGTCCTTTTAACTATTGTCTGAGTTTGGGGAACACAAAGAAGGCTCAGGGGCAGGATATGCACTGCAGGGGGCATGCGTAAGGTTTTCCAATCAAATTAAGACAGATTTTGCTACCTTTGAAGGAGGAGCAAGTGCATTGTCCTGATGGAGGAATATTTTTTTCTTTGGTTCAAATTTCCTGGCCTTTTTCTAACCAATAAAGCTTTCAGTTTTCTTTAAACTATATCCAAATAAGCCTTCATTATCATCCTCCAGGAAAATCTATCAAGATTGCTTTTGGGGGATATCCCCAAAACAGTCATTATTACCTTCTAAACTGATTTCATTGTCTTGAATGTAACTGGCCCAACAGATCCTCTCAAAAGCCATTGTTTTAATGGGACCTTGCTCGCTAGCTTATACTAGTAAATTCAGGACGCATCGCAGTTACAATGGATTATATAAAGTCATCTTTATTGGCCTTAGTCTTGCTTAAAAGGCTATTGGAGAGATGAGCTTTTTTGAGCCAGCTCACCTTTGTGTAATGCTTTTGGCACCCATTGAAGTGAAATTTTGCAGAGGCCAAGATATTTGTTTAGAATAGGAAGTGCAGAACTGTGTGAGATCCCAACTTTAGTAGCTATCTAATCAATGATAATTCTAAGCTTTTCTTTAGGTAGGTTCTAAACGTTAGCCACACAGCTTCTATATTCATTCAAGGCCGAAGGTCTTCTCTTGGCCTATTTTTGAGATTTTTCGAACCTGGCTTAAAACACTTATTTATCTAAAAAACATTTTATGTGGATCAGTATTCCCGTAAACGATGAATAAAGCTTCTATGATTTATGATGATATTCACTTGAGTTTTGTTAAAATTTTGGTATTAACCCTGACCTCAATTTTTTAACCATGACACAAAAACAAAAGTAGCTTTTTTTAGCCACCCTAATGAGACTAAGACAAGTGTAGTACTGACTTGGTCTACAGTCATCCACTGATCGCAAGTATCTTTGAACATGTTTTGTTCAGAGTAAACCCACACATGGAGGAACTGAAATTCTAGCAGCAATACTGTTTGACTAACTCGGATAAAATTATAAATGCATCCTTTATTTTCATAAAGCTAGGAAAGAATAATGCTTAGTTGTTTGCTTTTTGGTTGCCTGTTTTATTTATTGGCAGATTATTTAAGTCCAAAAATACTTAAGATATATTTACTGTGTGCCAGATACAGGTCTAGATTATAATGATACAAAAATATGTGATTCCTGCTCCCAGACACTCACAAACTCGTAGGGCAAAGGGACGTGTATGTATATTTACAGCTCACGGAGACAGATGCTATGACAACATAGAGGTTAGAATAACTAAGTCTTACAGGAAGATTAGTAATACCCTCTGAAGCTGAAACATAGGGAATTAGAGAGTAAACGATGTTGGGTGGGCTTGTAACTGGTAGACATCTATAGTATTGTGTCTCAGCCAGTGCTCTGAAAGCCTAAATCTGAACGTAGAATTATCTGCTTTAAAGTGTTTTCTGTCTAAGAATTAGCCATGACTCCCTACATTATGTCAATCACCAAACCTGTCTCTGCTCTCAAATATTTCTGAAATCTATTTGTTTTTCCAGGTTTAGTTACAACTCTAGCTTCCTACAGTACCCTTTTCTTGATTTTTTTTCACTTTAAACACTCTTTGAAATGAAAATAATATCCTTAAATGCAAACTTCATGTTTATGTGAACCTTAGTATAACATGTAATAATACTAGAGGGATTCAAAACATTGTGGAAAAATTCCACAATCATTTCTTTTCATTTCTTTCCAAGCTTTTTGAAGCCCCCTCATATAATCATTAGTTTAATGTCTGTCTTCCTCCCAGATTATTGGCTCCATAAGGGTAGGGCCATGCTCATCCGGGCCCCTGCTGGATTACTAGGGATCTACTTGCTGATGATTGTGATATTTCGGTATCACAGTATGGTCACTCAGATATTTGCTGAATGTAAAGAAGTTAAGGAGGGGAGGGAGCAAAGAAAACAGATCATGAAAATAATTGGAAGAATTTAAAAGGCTAGTGTGATACTATTTGCTTTTCAAAAATAACTTTGGCATATTAACGATGTGTTTGTTGAAAGGGCTGAAATGATGAATAATTAGAAATTGGTCCACACAAAACTTCTTTTACATACAGTACAGCGAGCACAAAGGATGCTAAATGAAAGAATATAGTTGTTCAAAAGGACAATACCTACTAAATGTGTTTCCATATTGTCACATTTCTTTTTCTTTCCATTATGTTTTAATCACTATTAAATCATTGATTAATAAATATGATCTTTCTTTCGTTTTAGTGGAGATTTTATCCAACCTTCATAATTCCTCATCAGATGTATCTTGTGCCTCTGAAATAAATAGCAGTTATGAAAGAATTCGACTTGAGAAACTCACATTTGCCCATAGAGCTGTTAGTGTCAGCACAGACCCAAGTGGATGCAACTTTGCAATCCTGCAGTCGGACCCTAAAACAAGGTATCTTGTGAACGTTTGTTAAGTTTTAGTTTCAACTTTAGAAGGATCAATCATTGGATTTTCTTTTGTTTTCAGTAGCTACTGGCTAAGATATAATTGCTGAGCCATTGTCCAGCCCTGTAGCAATGTTAGGCATATATAATCATGCTGCCAGGGAGCCCAAAGGTGGGAATTCATTTTAGAGACTGATGAGTTTTCCCTTAGTTTGTATAAATACACAGTTTGTGTCTTTAGTGCTTTATGATGTACTTTTATGTTCTCAGATTCTAGCATATTAAAAATATTATTTTGCAAAAGTTTTTGACTTTTCAATATGATGACAGTTGACAAAAGAAGTGGTGGTATCGTGACATCTGTAAGGCAGTGTGAATTCTAGTGCAAATACTGTAAGTCATAATAGTAGAGAGAAAACAGATGCAAGTAGTTGTGTGGTTCAAGAGAGAAGTCCCAGAAGTAGGATGACCATTCTTCCTGGTTTTCCAGGACTATCCCAGGATATTCCTTTGTTCCTGCAAAGCAGGAGGGTTGATCTTTCTGCCTAGAAAAGTCAAAGCAGATTGAGAAGGTGTTAATCACATTTCACAATGATGATGGGAAGTCTTTGTGTTTGCTTATCTTTATTTCTTTGAGTTTCTGACCTCCAGGATCCAAGACCTGTTGTGGATGCTAACTTTCTGTATATCTGTGTAATTTCAATATTTTTCTGCTATAAATATTTAATATAAAGGAGGAAAAGAATGAGAACCATACTCCACTCTTTCTAAGAGTCAATGTTTTTAGTTACACTTTTAATAATTTTTTTAAAGTTCTATAGAATAGTTATTTGAATTTATGTTCTAAATTAACATTGTGTTTGTAATAGATAACACTACTTTCAAAGAAAGTATTTATTTATTTTTGTCATTTATGAGGAAATATAAATATTAAAGGGAATAAAAATATTAAAGGGTATCTAAACTTTGTGATTTATTTTTATAGTTTAGGAAATACCAAATTAAAAATCTTCTCAAGTTTAATAAATAAAAGGAAATTGCATTTACAAAGGAGAATCAATGGGGGACGCTTTTGCTTTGTTTCATTTTCTTGAGTTAAAAAAAATCATTATTATTTTTCCTAGCCTTTATGAAATTCCAGTTGTGTCCTCATCATCCCTTTTTGAAGAGTTTGGCAGACTGTTGAAGGAAACAGATGAAATGGACAGCATCCATGATGTGGCATTTCAAGTTGGCAATAGAATCTTCCCTGCACATAAATACATTTTGGCAGTGCGTTCTGACTTTTTTCAGAGGTTGTTTATTTCAGATACTGCTACTCTAGACTTTGCAGATGTTTACCGTAAAGATGAAGATTCTGCAGGGTGCCATCTCTTTGTGATAGAGAAGGTTCGCCCTGACTTATTTGAATACCTTTTACAATTTATATACACAGACACTTGTGATTTTTTAACTCATGGCTGCAAACCAAGAATACACTTACTCAAGAAACCGGACGAATATCAGAACACTTCAAATTCTCATTTGAAGGAAATGAATTGCCATCAAGATAATAATCAGAAGTCAGCATTTGAAGTTCATAAGAGTAATCAGTCTCAATCAATTAGTGAAAAGCAAAAACGAAAATCTAAATCTTCAAAAAAGGGAAAAAGTGTTGAGGAAGATGATCCCATAAGAATGTTGCAAAATGTTGCAAAGAAATTTGGATTCAATAACTTGAGTAGTAGGTATGGCCTCAATATTTTTCTTGTGCTTCATGCTTCACATTTTTTTCTTTCATTTTTTTCCTATTTTTTGGAGAGGAACAGGATGTGTTTTTCTGCCACTTTCTGTTAGAACTAATTAACTCTTAAAATCTCTGGATTATATAACTTTCTTTTAATGGTTTTAGTAAGTAAGATGGGCAGGCTATTAGTACATTTGAAATCTCTAATCTGTGTGGAACAGTAATCTAGGATAGAGTTGTGCTGGAAAGAGAACTAGATTTGGCATTACAAAGATGTATATATGCTTCTTGACTCTACTGTGCCACTTGCCTTTCCTTTAGCAGTTTCACTGACATATAGTTCACATATCATAACTCAATAGTTCAGTCCCATCAAGAAGAGTTGTCCAGTCATCACCACAATCCGTTTTAGAATAGCATCTTCATCTTGCACCCATTTCCTCACCTCCTTAGCCCCACCCCCAAGGCTCCATTCATCCAGGTACTGTCTCTCTAGATTTGCCTACCTTGTATGACAAAGTAATACAGATAAAACCTCTATTGAAGCGAAATAAGATATTAAAATCTAGAATAAGTTTAAATGGATCATAAGGGAGATCAGATGATAGGGTGCTGAATTTTAGCCTAACTGGATCTGCAACAATCTACTTTCCAATACATTCTGTGTGATAGCAAGGCTGTTCACACCATTGTTCCTTGGTCAGGGGATTCACCGGGGGCTTAGTCCACATGAATTTCCCCTTCACATTTTTTTTGGTTGTATAGTGTGCTACTTAACAGTTTTGGAGGAATTTGTACCATGACTTTCATTCTTTTTTTTTTTCCCATAAAGATATTTACTATATTTTGAATTCTAAGTAAAATTACATGGAAGAACATGACATTTTTGTCTCTCTTGATGAAATACTTTTCTCAGGTATCTGAGTATTCTAAATTCCTTGCCCAATGGTTTGTGCTTGGCTACTAACCAAATGTTTGGTGGTTCACGTTCACTCTGGGTGAGACAGAACAATCACTATTATAAAATTGCTGCAGTTGACAACCCCTGAAGTCCAGTTCTATTCTGACACACAGGCTTACTGCGACTTAAATCAATTCAGAGGCAACAGGCATTTTTTTTTATATTGAGATATAAGGTAATTTTTTTTGGGGGGTGGGGTTGGTTAGTTTTGTAAGAAGGAATAATGTGTATCATTACCAATTTTCTCTGTTAATTTCTGTCTGTTCTTTGTAGGTTAGATGGAGTCAGATTTGAAAATGAAAAAATTAATGTTATTGTCAAGAAAACTGGTAATAAACCAAAGCTTAGCCGGAAAAAATGGTGAGTTTTATCTTTAGAGTTTTTCTTATCCACATATCAAGCAAATTGTGCAGATTTTTACCGCTTTACCTTTCCTAGTTGTCTTCATTTATGGACTTGTTGGGAAGTTGTTGGGTTAAATGGACAAGAGACTAACTGCTCCATATGACAGGGAAGGAATTCTCCCTTCTGGTTGTTTTCTAATGTAGAGAAGGCACTTTCATTTTTATGTTCCCTGTCTGAATTTTGTACCTTGTTGTAGGTAATTATGGTAACCCCCAAACCTAACTAATTATGCACAAGCATTATAATTACTCTTTTTAGTATATAAATTTTCAATAGTAAATATACTTTTCTAAATATTTTTGTTACTAAAAGTTATTTTTTAAGAATATCTATACTTTGTAGGTAAAAAGTTATTAAGAAATAAATTGAAAGTCTCTAGACTATACCTGACACAGGATAAATTGTACAAATAAGTGACATTAAATAACCTTGAAATATAATAGCACTTATTATATTATTAGCACCTAGCTTAGCTTAAAATAGGAAAACTTATTTGAAGAAAGATTTTCAATATTTATCTGTAATCATATCTTTACAAATATTATTGTTATTGTTTATTGTCTTCCTGAAAAGGAAGTGATTCATTTGCATACATACTTACCTGTTGTTTATCCTTTCTTGACTTTAATAAAAAGGAAATAAAAAATTTAGCCAAATTCTGTAACAAAATTTTTTATTTGCTCAATATGTAAAGTGTAAAAAATCATACTTGTTTGAATTATACATTTTTCTCATAGTTCATTTCTGTGTGATGTGACCATGAAATCATTGGATGGAAAGGAATTTTCTTGTCATAAATGTGTTCTTTGTGCCAGACTTGGTATGTATAGTTTTTTGTTGTTAATTACACTTCTTTTTTTAAGGATATTTCATTCTTATTGAATTGAACTTTTTTTCCCCCCCCAGAATATTTTCATAGTATGCTGAGTAGCTCATGGATTGAGGTAAGATTTAAGTAGAAAGTATATAGGCTGGCAATTATGCGCTAAAATTTTGGGAACATTATGTTCATATACTAAATTTATAAATAGGAACTAAATAATGAAATTTGTCAACAGTATAATATGTAATTTTAGGATTTGTTTGTATTGAAATTAGCCTCTTCAAAGGCTTAATAAAATAACCATTGTATGTTTTAAATAGACACAAATATAAAATACATGACCTCGCATATTGCTATGCTTTTTTATATGTTATCTATGGTTATCTTGAGATTTGACCAATAGCTTATTTATAGTGCAATTCAAAAGGGGGATTTTTTTTAGGCTGTTAATATCTCTTGAATATTTAACTTTCAGTATTATTAGTAAATAATACATTACCCAAATGTTACATTAATTTGATTTGTATGTAGATTGATAAACCAAAATATAAACATCAAAGTTAAAGTGGAAATTATCTGTATTAAGCTAAGGTGTACCTAGCTTAAGCCATAGTAATTTTAGTTACCTCATATGCATGTGAAAGCTGTACAATTAATAAAGAAACTTGAAGAAGAATATTGAATGTACCACCGGCTATCAGAAAAATGAATAAATCTGAGAGAAAGGACTGCTGGAAGCTTAGATGGCAATACTTTGTCGTGGCAATGTTTGGCCATATCAAGAAGAACTAGTCACTTGCAAATGACATTGTGCTCAATAAGGGAAGGGGTCAGGGATGAAGAGGATGACCCTCAGTGAGAGGCCCGATGCAGTGGTAGCAGCAGGGGGCTTAAACATAGCCAGGCTGAGGAGGAGGGCACAGAAGGAGGCAGACTTCGTGCTCTTGTACATAGGCTCCCTATGAGTCCCAGCCAGGCTGATGACACGTCACAAGAACAGTTCTCTTCACTTCGTTGAACTCTAATTGAATAGGCAATTGTGTTTTAAGTTTCCTGGAAATTTCAAAAAATTATAATTTAAGATTTTAGTTTTATGATACTAGCATAAATTTTCATTATAAAATGTGTTATGATATCTTTATAAACTATTAGCTTACACACTGAATTAATTTCATGTTCATAGTACTCACTGTATTGTTGCAATTGATTATTGAAGTAATCAATGTTTGTTCATATTTCAACTTGATTAGAGAAACTAAGATTAGATTTATTAAGACCCTTTAGGTTTATTAAACATATTCCTGCAGTTTCCCTTACTCATTATAATAGTGACTTTACAAGTACTTTTCTAGACATTATTCTAGCCTGTTTAAAATCCTAGACTTGTGCCAGATTGAGTCACAAGAAAATAAATTGGTTGTAAATAAGTATCTTGTATTTTTTTCCTGAAGTTTCTTGCCCCATTTTTTTAACTTGTCAGTTTTAAAATGATGAAACAGAATTTTAAATATTTTGAAATTATTATGAAATACCTAGAAACACTAGTAGCTTGCATATTATGTAGAGTTTTGTAAAATCCCTGTGTTCAATTGTATTTCCCTAACATTCTGAGCCTTAATATTTTATTATTAATCACTTTAAGGCCAAAGTTATACTTTTGTTTGGTAAAATGCAGAAGCTTTTAAAATACCTTAATGATATTTATTAGTCATATGGCCTAATTGATGCTTCTATAAATTTTCTTTTTTAATTTCTCAAACACATTTTATTGGGCGTTAATACAGGTAACGTATAATTCCATAGTTCAATCACATCAAGCAGTATTGTACAATTGCTGCCACACAATCAATTTCAAAACATTCTTTTCCTTTTTGAAATCCTTGACATTAGCTCCCTTTACCCCTCACCCCGAACCCTCTCTACTCCGAAGAAACCTTTATTCCTCTTGCTGTCCCCATAGGTTCATCAATCCTGGGTTTCATATACTGAAAAACAGAACAACATATAACAAAAATTCAAGAGGGTCACTCCCAGTGACAAAACACATTTTAGATCGACCCCAATATGACCAAACAAAAAAAGTTACACTTTTTTAATGCTCTTGAAAAGTGATTGTTGTTGTTTTTTTAATTAGCACTTAAACAATGGCTTGTTTCAAATAGACCACAGTATACGTAGTGCACTCAGCATTCCACCCTTAATGCAGGGTTTATATGTGTCTTAGTTTTGGGGCTCATATTTTAGCTCATTTTTTGTTATTGCATTGAACTTTATTTATTCATGTGTGCTTAAGTTTACTACAAAATGGAAACAATGAAAAAATTAGAATTTTTTCTAAAAAGCTGGATGAATAAAAACTGTCCGTTATTTTTATAAATATATTTGTGAGACATTTATGCTTTTCTCCTGAGATTTTTGTTTTTATATTATAGTGTTTTCAGATTTCAAAC